TCTAGAACCCGTGAGGCAGTTCTGGTTCATCTAGAAACCCTATGAGACAGTTCTAGTCCATGTAGAAACCCTGTGAGGCAGTTCTAGTCCATCTAGAAACCCTGTGAGATGGATCTAGTCCATGTAGAAACCCTGTGAGACCGTTCTAGTCCATGTAGAAACCCTGTGAGGCAGTTCTAGTCCATCTAGAAACTCTGTGAAGACAGTTCTAGTCCACTCTAGAAACCCTGTGAGACAGTTGTTAAGATTACAAGTATTTCTAGTAAAATGAGCCATAGAAAAGTGCGAAAACCCTGTCCTGTCGAAGGTGGAAAAACTTGGAAAAAGGGAAAATATGGCAGTCTCATTGAGTCTGAGTCTCACAGACTCACGTACAATGTCGAGTTAATTCTGACTCTTGGCAAACCGACAGGACAACATATAGTGATAGGGGCTCAGGCTACGACCTTTCCGGAAGCACACTACCTCATCTCTGTCCCACAGAGCAACTGCTGGGCTTGAACTGCTGACCTTTCAGTTAGTAGCCAAGTGCTTTCACCACTGGTCACTAGTGTGCTTGCACACTTTCTCTATGCGTGTGTGTACATATGCATACATATATAAACACACACACACACACACATATATATACAAAGTCCTGATGTGGTGCTGTAGGATAAGCACTGGATTGCTAACCATAAGGTTGGCAGTTCAAACTCACCATCTGCTCCTCAGATGTTCAAGGGCACAAAACAACAACACAAATAGACACATACAAGTGACTGGGATCTTAAAAGCTCATGAGCAACCATCTAAGGGGCAGCTATTGGTCTCTCCATGTGCGGAAGAAGAGGGATGAGACGTGAAGACGTCTGGAATCACTTAGTCCAATGGACCAGTGGAACGGGTGAACATCAGTCTCCACGACTCAGACCTGAAGAACTAGATGGGGCGTGACTACCACTATCCACTGCTGTTAGAGAGATCACATTGGAAGATTCTGTTTAGAATGGAAGAAAATGCGAAAGAAGACTCAAAATTAAAAAAAACAAAAAACAAACATCGGGCTTACTGGTCAGAAAGAGACGGCCCTCAACCACTCTTCAGGTCTGGAATGGAACATAACCTCATGGCCCAATTTTCAGTCAAGTAGGAGAAAGGAGCTCTGGTAGCGTAGTGGTTACGAATCGGGCTGTGAACCACAAGGTCAGCAGTTCAAAACTACCAGCTGTTCCGCAGGAGAAAGATTAGGCTTTCTGCTCCTGTAAAGATTTATAGCCTCAGAAACCCTGTGCAGGGTCACTATGAGTCGGAACCGACTCCACGGCACATAACAACAACAACAACAGGAGATAGGCCTAGTGTGGCTCTGTGGACTAATGCAGCAGACTGCACACCCTTTTGAACTGCAAGGTTGGGGGTTCAAACTTACCAGTTGCTCCTTGGAAACCTTATAAAGGGTCGCTATGGGTCGGAATCGACTCGACAGCACTTACCAACAACAAGAAGTAGATAGGTATATGGAGGGTGGAGAGTTGGCACCGACTCACAGCAACCCTATGCACAATAGAACAAAACATTGCCCGATCCTGGGCCAACCTCCCAACTGTTGCCACGCTTGAGCCCATTGATGCTGCCACTGTGCCCATCCATCTCACTGGGGGTCTTCCTCTTTTTCTCTGACCCTTCACCCTACCAAACACAGTATCCTTCTCCAGGGACTGGTCCCTCCTGACAATATGTCCCAAGTATGAGAGATGAAGTTTGGCCATCCTGGCCTCCAAGGAGCACTCTGGCTGTACTTCTTCCAATACAGATCTCTTTGTTCTTTTGGCAGCCCATGGCACTTTCAGTATTCTCCTCCAAATAACTCAAAAGCATCAATTCTTCTACGGTCTTCCTTATTCACTGTCCAACTGTTGCCTGCATATGCGGTTATTGAAAACAAGGTATGCTTATCATGAAATGACCAATCATTCAAGATCAAAAGGACAACCTTTACCTAAGGATACAGTTGAGAAGGGATGGGAAGGTGAATGGAATGGAAGTAGGAGCCCCAGGAAAGCAGTGGGATAACTGTTGCTCCATGGAGGAACTGCAAGCATTGAAATTAAACAAAGTGTATGATTTATTCAAAGTAAAACTGATGGTCTGCTCTGTAAGCCTTCAGTCAATTCACAGTCAAAGTTAAAAAAAACAAACACACATACGAAACAATTCCATTTTATGGTAAAGCCCTTAGGGATTCTACACGTGACTGATATCATCTGTTGATGTTGCTAATAGTAACGTTATGATTCAGGTTAGGGAAGTAAAGCGCCTTGCTCCAAGCTTCTTGGGTAATTTGTCACAGGAACAAAGTCACAGACGAGAGATGAGGGAAAAAGAAGCTATTGAGGCACCAAGAGAACATATCTACACATACTGCATGCTCCCCATAGGCTCCTGACTGGGATGATGAACCAAGGTCCCCACGGGAAGGACAGGCTTAAAGACCCTTTAAGAGGAAAGTGACCACCGTTGATAAACATTCTCTGCTGCGGTGTAGTGAGAGCCAAAATGTCCGGCTTTGCAGACAAAAGAGGCAGTGGGACAGATGCGGCCCTTGGGCAAGAGCAACCCCTGGTCTAGGGCACTTCAAGAATTCTGACTCTCTGAGCTGTGTGAAGCTTGCATGGACAACGAGTTTCCTGTTTGTTTTACAAACACATGGCTGTTGTGTTGCTGATTAAATCCTGGTGTTACCATTCCCATTTTACAGATGACGCTGACAGTTTAATTTAGTTGGAGGAAAAATAGGATAAAGGGATCAGCATCCTACCAGGTTTACTGGCTTGCAAGAGCTGGACCCTCCCAGCTCCTCTCTGGGTCCACAAGCCAAGCATGGCTTGTCCCAGTCACTTCCCTTTCGGTTCAGTCCTCTCTGGTATTGCTGGCTTCACTCACACACACACACACACACACACACACACACACACACACACACACCGCAGCAAGCAAGTGGACGCTCAAAGGCCACTCAAACAGGTGGGCTGTGTCACCCCTCAGTGTATAGGCTCAGTCTGAGTTCTAATGCAAAACACACTGACCATTTATCTGGTTTGTTCAACTTCAGTCTTGGTGAAAAAGAGTCCCTTTGATTAACCATCCTATGGATGCTTTCTGTGGACTAAGACAGAACATCTGGCATTATGAAAGATGAATTTAAGGTTTCACCACTTAGCTTTTTATGATCCATGCCTCCACCAAGTGAGAAAGGTTTGGCACAATGGAATGTCTTTGAGCCACTGGTGGTCACAGTGAAAAATACACCCTGATCACCACCAAGCAAATCAGGTGTACTGTTGCTCTGATGGGACACGTCCTCGGAAAAGACCCCTCACCTGTTCCAGAAGAAAGGCCAGCACTTAAGGTGAGGTGGGTGCCTCAGGGCGTGCGAGGGGGGGCTCGTCTGTTATAGACAGAAACCGGCCCCTTGCCAATGGAATGACCACATGAAAGTAGACATCGTCCAGAAACCACAGACGGCCAGAA